TACCTCCTATGGGCAGTAGTCAAGTGGGACCTCACTTGCTGCCTTCTTGTGTATCTAAATCTGATTGCTAGCATTTACTATGAAATTTAAGAGTAGGCCATAAGGTATATAAGCATATTTGGACTGAGGACCCTATAGGACCTGCAGTTAGTAAGTAACTCAGGAGGGCATAAGGTACCCTGTATGGGCAGTAGTCTGTTAGGACCCTATTTACTGCTTTCTTATCTATCCAAACGTGTTGGCTAGCATTTATTATCAAATTTAAACGTAGACCACAAGTACCCCATAAGTATGTTTGGACTGGAGACCCTATAGGACCTGCAAATAGGGTGAGGCAACAGGATAGGGTCCTTCCTATGGACATTAGTGAAGTTGATATTTAAAATGCAAAGGGCTAAACCTTTTTCTATACTTTTTTTTTAGTTTATGTCTTTGTGAACATTAACCTATTCTTCTGTTTAGACTACATCAACTATAACTTTAGGTTCTCTATGGCAATAAACGATAATAACCCTGTGTTTTTCTTTTTTACTCGTCGATTATCCGATCAGATAATGCACAATTATGTTCAGCGATGATTTTTCCTAATTACGTGGTACTGGAGAACAGTTTTAGGGATAATTAGCAAACGTAGCGCAACAGTTCGCCAGATAATTGAATTCTCTGCTTTAACAACGTGTTCTCCACTTTGGCGGAAACACGATATATATCGGGAACCGAATCGGCTGACGTTAGCATGCTATACTTAGACCCCCAATAATTAACGAAATTGATTTCCTTGACACGTTAATGAGCCGAAGAAAGTGGATATTTACTTTGAAGGTTGTTAGGCCTTCGCGGTCGGAGCTTGAAAACGTGACTCATTAAATGTCAGCGGTCTATTTATAGTGAAACGTTCGTTTTATCTTCTCGATGGTTCATCGAAAAATCGCGATAACGTTTGAAGCTCGATCGTCTTCGTTTCCCTATTGTGCGAGTTAAACGATCTAACTCTTCAAGGGGGTAGCTCCATTTAAACACCCTTTTTTAACGCGATTATATATCTTATTATTAATGAAACATTCTTTTACACTTCTGTTAGCACTTTGCAAAATGTTTAACGGATAATTTGCATGAAAGTTTGCTAATTAAAAATTCATCGGTGTTAATACAAAAATTCCCCTCGTTAAACTTTTTACGCGAGCTTCTTGAAATTTTTTCTCAACTATATCCACTAGAGTTGAGGAGATAAAAAAGAAAAAGATATCAAGGTAATCAGGGTGATCGTAAAAAAGGTACTTATCGACGAATAAATTCCCCTAGCAAGTTCCGCCATTAATTTGCCGATCGAACTCTATCATCTGTTGAGGTTTTTCTTGCCTCTCGCGGGTTTTCCCCATTTTATAGGAAATTTGTAGGCTCCTGCTACGATTAATGAGCTGTTTAGTAACTTTTTTTTATGAAATTGGTACGAAAATCTTAGGGAATTTCGATTTAACGATGTCTACTTTAAAATTTAGGTTTAATTTATTGTAATTGCTTGGATGAAAAATGTACTATTTATTTTTGCTTTAAATTATTAAGTTAGTCGCTAAGGTTTAGCCTAACCTTGTTCGACCCACCTAAAATGATCACTCTGTGTAGTTAAGGTTAGGTAAACCTAACCTAAATTATCATTGATCGAATACTTTAAGACCCCATTCACAGTGGGACGAATCCAATTGTAAATGTACCGATTCTTCAAACTATTTTAAAAACACGAAGGGGTGAGATGAAGAATTATTTTTAAATTGTACGATTTTTATTGCCGGTGCTAGAATAAATCACCATAATGGAACAAGGAGGGATGTACAGGGAAATAATCGTGCTTACCGCTTGAATAACATTTCCGAGGGGATGAAACGTAAGTTTCAGGGGTTTTGGGGATTACGCTTGATCGTAGCGCTGGTTTTCAGGTGGAACCTCCCCTAAATGGGAACAGATGGGGCGTTTTTTCCTTGGTGATGAATGCGTTTCAATGAAATCGAAGGAAAATGCGACGAAAGTGTAATCAACGCGAGGGCAAATAAAACTTCGGTCTATTTACAGAAAATTGTCACAACAATTGTTAATTCGATTAATTAAAAATAGATTAAGACAAAGAGAAAAGACTTTTAGAATCGTCCCTTCAGAAAAATCTCGGGGATATAGCTAAACCGGACATTGAGCATAAAATGAACATTTTAATTACGAAGAAAAAAGGGTTGAATTTTCTTTTAAGAGAGTCAAAGCAGTCACTTAGCGGTCGAGGGATTAATCAGGTTTTCTTGTCCGAGCTATTAAACGCACTTGCACCAGTCATGGCTGTTTTTCATTGTCCCTGTCCTTTTAAACCAGATTACTGTCACATAATCGTCGTTCTTTTGTTGTTCCATCTTAACCAAACACTGTGTACCTTAATTCCAATGTCGCCTTAACGAAGAAAACTTCTCTGTTGGTTGATAGACCGCCATTTTGAACCGCACAATTCTACAGAATTGTCCACTTCATTTTAACCAGGAGGACATCATATATTTAAATTTTTCAAATCAAAAAACCCTGAAGAATCGTCAGAGGCAGCCCATTGTACGTCCTCAACCCTCGACGTTCCGACCCCATCGACCAACCCCTTCTGTTCCCCCCTCCTTTCCTTCACACCATAACCCCTCGGCGGTTTCGCGTTGTTAGGCGCGATTATTGGCCGCTATGTTTGCAGAGGGGACATAAGTTATTGCCTCGCCAAACCAACGGGGCTTCCCACCTCCGAGCCTGACCGTAGACAGAAGCCGAACGACTGGGAGCAACTCTGCTAAAGCCTCTTCCCAGGGGAAAAGGTACACCCTGGTGTTTCTATCGACGGTGATTAATCGGGCATCTTCTTTAACTGGGGTAGCTTTTCCTTTCGGAATAGCGAAAACCAGAAAACAAAGAACCGAAGACGGAGCCGCTAAGATCGTGGGCGATACGGTCCGTCCTAGTGATAGGGCTTTTATTTTCCCCGGCTTATGCTCGTTTCTTGCACACCGTTCGCTTTGTACTCGGTTATTTATCTTGTCGAAGATTGTAACGGTCGGTTTCTGTTGAAAGGAGCTGCTTATTCCCACTGAAACCGTGTGGGGGAGATCGAACATGATGGAGAAGGACATGAGGCCTCTGTTATTTTCCTAAAACTTTCTTATTGTTATTATGGGTCCATATTGCCATAAAAGATGGTATATTCATGATCATTATTAAGGGTAATAAAAATAAGAAATAAATCATGGTTCCACATGTGGGATACATATGACTGGGTCATCCTACTGTAAGCCTCTGATGTTCCTTGTCTTGAAATTAATCTGCTGTCACTGCTAGTATCATTATTAACCTAAATTACTATATAAAAAATGGTTGGGTCACGATTCAACAAATTTGCTACATCTAACTTTTGAGTCCTGACCTAGTTAGCACATGAATGACGGCCAAATGTCCCACGCTATAAGCAGGCTGACCCAATTAGAGTCCTGCAAAGCCAGTCAGACATTCCAAGTGAAATATCTTACGATTCAGCTGCGAAATAGAGTTCACCTCTTCATAAAGAAGCAGAGGAAAGGTTAGTAACTGAAGCGTCAATGAGAGTCTGCCTTTACGTCCTCCTAGTCTACCTTTCAAACTCCCCTACCTCCGGTATGAAAAAAAAAAAAAGAACATCACCGTCGTTGGAACTGGCTGACGCCTGTTATTGTTCAACGTGGAACGACAGAAAAATGGCGGTGTCGCGTTGCTTTGTTGGGTGTGAAACGAGTAAGTTTTTAACGACCAGGAGGCCACCATTTTCCACGGCTTACAGGCGACGAGTTTACGTGTCAAGAACGCGTTTCATTCCTGACGTTTCGTCGTTGATTTTACGGGCAGAGCCCCGCAGACACTCCACAAATCCTCCGAGATCTTTCTTGACGAGAAAATAAAGGTCCTCCTTCGGTATTTTTTATGGTAAACGCCAGAAGATGTTGTCGAGGGGGATTCTCCCAGTTGTTTATGGGAACTGTGTTGTCGGTCCCTTAATTGTGATCGTCGTTTCAGTAGACACTGTTTGTTAGGCGCGAAATCAAACGAAATAATTATTTTTGTAAACGTATAATTGTTTGTTGCCCCTGCAGGGCCGGCGCCGGGGGGGGGGCAATCGCCCGGGGCGCTAGATCTGTAGTGGGCGCCGCAGCCCGGTGTCCCTAGTTATTTCCGTTTAGATTAGTAAAGCTGCTATGTAGTTTAACAATTATTGCTAAAACCGGCCCTATGCCCCTGGGTTTGGGAATGCTCCTGATGCTCCCGTTTTATAATTTAACTTTTGTTATTGTTAAATTACCGGGGATTCTGATGGTGTTAAGTCCTCCATGTGCTTGGGTCGACCCGAGGCCATTTGTGACCCCGGTAGGGGTAGGCTCTTGAGTCTATGAAAATCAGCGAAGGACGAACTCTATCCGTGGCCTCTAGGTCTCCGGCGAAACCGGTAAATATTTAGATCGCGCTCGAGGAAGAGATAACCCCTTGGCCTAAACACTCGGATCGTGCCAAATAGCGACCGTATATTCATTCGTTCTTGTGCCTTCCTCGAGTCGATACACTGTCGGAACGCGAAATAAATAATTTGTCCAAACCGAATATACATTCACGTTTCAACAGTTCTTAGTGACACTGACTTAACACTTTAAGGCCCACTTTGGTAGGTCTATCTCAACTGTGAATCTTCCTGTATAATTCTTGGCCACAGCCAAGAGGTACACAAATCGGACGGCCAGAAAAGGTCAGTATAATCTGGTATAAAAATAAACACGGCCTTGCCGGTGATCGATGCTGTGCAGTATTGAACAATCGTCGAATCGATTGTTCGCATTCGTTGTTGGTAACTACTAACAGTGTTACAACGAGCATTGCTATAGACTCCAGTCGGTTAATGGCGTCCGTGACTTAGTTCTTTCTTCAATTGATTACCGGTTGAATTTCAGCTTTTGCAGCGATGGCTTCGAGGCAGTTCACCTATATTTCCTCGATTGGTTGTACTTCATTGTTGGTTAAAAAATTGACCCCTCAATCAGTCTCGTCGAACCTAACCTAATTCATATTTCTATCACCAAAATAGGTTATAATCATTCCGAGAACCTAACCTAATTCATATTTCTATCACCAAAATAGGTTATAATCATTCCGAGAACCTAACCTAATTAATATTTCTATCACCAAAATAGGTTATAATCTTTCCGAGAACCTAACTTAATTCATATTTCTATCACCAAAATAGGTTATAATCATTCCGAGAACCTAACCTAATTCATATTTCTATCACCAAAATAGGTTATAATCATTCCGAAGTTCTTCACGACTTTTGTATCACTCCGTAGTCCTCGGAAGTTTAATCACTTGGATCAATATTCGAATTCTAACCGCAGATTATTCCTTTGGGGTTGATCAGATCGATTCAGCCAGAAATATGTACCACAGATTCAGCTCGTGTCCTTTGAAATCCATTGAATATTTCAGGATCCAAGTCGACTTTTTTTTCACCGTCTAATGAATGCTTCAGTCCACGTTTAAAATACCGATCACCCTCTGTCGTAGAAGTTTCGATTCGTATTTGACTCGGTCCGCGGCCAAGAGAATCGTACATTTAATTAATTCCTGCTTACGTTTCGGGAGAGGGGTATCTGCGAATGAAAGCAGGGAGAGTCCGCACGAAACGAGGCTAACATTTCCAATCTCGCGACACGGACACGCCCGGGACAAATCCTGCTTAAGCTGGATACACACGCGACGCTAATATCGTTTCGTTATCGTCCAGGAAGTGACGTAGCGGAACGATATATACAGATTTCAGCTTGATTCAGCCAATATGCAACGGGACACGGTGCACATTCCGACGAACGTACATCGCAATGATCCGGTCGTGGTGAAATACCAGGACACCTTATTGAGATCCATGATTGGTCGACACTGATTTTCAGCTTTACGGTTGAAACGGCAAATCGATATTTATTTCTTCCTACGGTGTATATTTTAGAGGTTACCAAGCTGAAATGATTTAAGATTTACGATTGAGTCTCTTTTTGTCATTAAGAATGTTAATTAAGGTATTTTGTTGAATTTTTAGGGCCAGCAGGAATGAAGGCCCCAAGAATCGATCTTGGGGAGAAAGTAAGAACTCCGGGTGAGGTTAGGTTAGTACTTTTATCGATATTTATTTCTTCCTACGGTGTAGAGTTTAGAGGTTACCAAGCTGAAATGATTTAGGAGTTTATGATCGAGTCTTTTTTGTCATTAAAAATGTTAATTAAGGTATTTCGTTGAATTTTTAGGGCCAGCAGGAATGAAGGCCCCAAGAATCAATCTTGGGAGATAGTAAGAATTCCGAGTGAGGTTAGGTTAGTACTTTTATCGATATTTATTCCTTTCTGTGGTGTAGATTTTAGAGGTTACGAAGCTGAAATGATTTAAGATTTACGATCGAGTCTTTTTTTGTCATTAAGAATGTTAATTAAGGTATTTTGTTGAATTTTTAGGGCCAGCAGGAATGAAGGCCCCAAGAATCGATCTTGGGGACCTCAAGCGGAGAAAGTAAGAACTCCGGGTGAGGTTAGGTTGGTACTTTTATGTGATCAAATGATTCTAGATAGTGGAAAATATTGCACCATCGAATGTGTAATATATATATGAGATGCATTCGGTGAAAAATTCACTTCTCATACATTTCTTATCGTCTAGTAGCGTACTATAGCTCGAGACACTTAAGGGGGATCCTAGTTCGATGGGAATCTCGTTGTTCAGCAAAGGGTATCGGTAAAATTTCATTCGAAATTACGAATTCAATTCCGCGGATACGATTCCTCGTAAATTTCAAGAAATTCACTCATAACTTTCAATGGACTCGGTCTCAGCAGTGAGAAATCATTCGTTGATCTTTCTTAAATTGAATTTTCCTATCCGTTTCAAAGGAAAATGGATTTTATCAAAATCTTTGGTTATTTCTTGCTTAGCTTCTTAATTAATTTCAATTTAATTCCATATTTAATTGAAGATTCCGTATAAACTTTGAAATTCAATTATATCTTGATGAATTTTAAATGCCAGGTTCTATTTATCGAAGACTTAGTGCAAACTTGAAGGTAAATTGAAATTAATTTGAACTGAAAACAAAAGAAACTATTATAATTAGGTTTACATTAACTTCTCTGTCAGAATTTTTAGCTACACTTTAAATAAATTTACTATAGGAAGAAAATAAAAGTTTAATTAAATCTAGACTTAGGTTCTTAAAAAATCCGAATGATAATTAAATTTCAATCAGTCAAACCAAATTGAAGGAGATTAACTAAAAATTTGATTGTACCTAACAGAAAGAAGAAACCAAAGCGTGAATGAAAGCACTTCAAAGTTGGAAGCCAAAATTGGATTGCTGTCATTCATTTTGTGACATTTTTATCTCGATTTGTTTTCCTCTCTGCTGTTCGTCAAGCTTTTAAAATTTCCTGTACCTTGGCAAAATCGAAAATTTTGACCGATCCAAAAGAAGAAAAAAGTGTATATATCGAGGACGAAGATAAAGTTTGATTTATTGTTCCCGCCTTCCATAAACTTTTTAATCTCCGGCGTGCTACATCACCGAACGAGATAGTGCAATTCTATATATTGCTCTCGTTTCCCTGTTAAATTGCCAATATATTTTTGTGCCTTTTTGCGTTCAGTCAACAAACAAGGGACATTGTCCATCGGATTGATCCAATAACAGGTGTGAATCTAAAAATAAATCGAGTCTGGTGCAGTTCCAAAATAACAACACCACCGACAAATAGAAAGCGTACCAATTTTCATGTTAACCTTGTGCTTTCACTTTAACGCCTGAAACGTGTCACATTTTTTCCAATTTCGAGAAATAAAATATTAAAAAAATAAACGCAAAATTGGAATATATTGGCTTTTAAAAGAAACCTAGTACTTTTAGACCATATGGAAGTGTCCCGTCCAGTCGGTTCAGTTGGAACATTCACAGAACCGACTGGACGAAAAAGAAAATTGTCGCGCAACGTTACAATCGAAGGAAATGACGTCGTTTTTTCTCTCAGCCAGTTCAATAACCTTCTTATTTGTTCCGAGCTTCCGTTCCAGGGAGAAATCGTCTGGCTTTTATCGCGAGGAACGTTATTTGCTGCACCGATGTATCTTGACGTGATCTCGTCTCTCGTTTTACGCGACGATAACTTAACGTCGAACACGATTCTCGTTTTCCTTTCCTCGACTAACTGCGATCATTGCTATTTATTGCAGTTACTATTTTCCCGAGCTAGCAGCACGTTTTTCCGTGATTCCTCGTTATATTCGATCGAGAAGATAGATAGATGGCGCTGCTATCCCTCGGGTGTAAATTGGGTTAGGTAGCCGTTGGTTATTGCTGCCTGTTGGGTAATTTACTGCCCTGTTTCTTTGTTTTCGATTCGGTTTTTATTTCCTGCTGGAAACCTAGATCGTTTTTCGATGTTCGTTGTAGAGGTATCTTTCAAAATTCCACAGAAAATGATAAAATAAATAAAATTTAAACAAATCTTCCCACAGATCCACCTGTAGATCCTATAAATCCTATTAAGCCTTTGCAAAGGCTTTGTCTTCATTGTTTATCTTCCCATCGAGGGTCTGCAGACCCTGGGGACACGTAATACCGTCTCTGTTTATTGTACACCATGCTGACCATGGGGGTTTTTGACAATTTTTACCGGGATATCCTTGCCAAATCGTATTTTCCAATGGTAACGGAGCATGGTAGAGAGTATATCAGTAACCGGATCTGGGATTCAGCTGGTTCCAGCAGATTTAAAGGGGACAGTTGCGAGAAATGAAATAGAGGGCTCTCCTCGTAACGAGGTCCAGCAAGAAAATCAGAATAAATAATGGTCGATAGAAATGGAATTGAGGGTGGTGCACGTGGAATACTCGAGCAGATACTGGATCATTCTAAGCACTTCTAAACACTTCACTGTATTATCTTTCTGATTACTCGTTCAATCCACTCAGACAGCCTCGCAAATATTGATTTTAACAAACATTCGAATAAACAAATTGAATAGTAGCTTGAATTCGAGGACTGTACAAGTGAAAAATACTGTGGTTTACAATTTACACGATTCCTCGTGTACAGCATTGATGGAAAATATTTTGAAAGTAGTATTATCCTTGGATTTACATATCCTGGCTGAAAGCACTTATGCTTGTTCCTGCTTTCACGTTTCTGAGGATTTAGTTTCTCTTCTGAGCTGATACTTTTCTGATATTCATGTTTAATGCCCTTTGTATTCTCGATTTTAAAAGATTTTTAAATCACAAGCAGAGTTTCTCTCCCTAGATTGCCATTTTTAAAAAAATATTTCTCTTAGGTAATTCGTTAAGATTGCTGTTTTTCTGTCGTTTAGGTTTCCACACCTACACCTTGAACGAGAGCACGCATACAGAGAGGGAGGAGGACGAGATACTGACAGTGAGATACGAGGATGGCAGGTGGTCGAAACCCTACTACGATTGCGGGGGCGGGAATATCTGGATGCTGACCTACACCGTTCCCTTCTTCGGATACGTAAATGACACCTACTTCTTCAAGTAAGTGATACTTTAACTTTATTAAACAGCTGGCATACGCTGCTATTGTGTCACTGTACACTTATTATATTTTACTTTAATATAAAAAAATTCAAAGATCAGAATATATTTTCGTTCTGTTTGTTATTTTATTCATTAAATAACACATTAATATTATATTCTCGGGGTAGCCGGGAATTATTTTATAAACAACGGAAGATTTAAATTTAAATTTGCAATGTTTATCACAAAATGAAAATTTAATGAAAAAATGACATTTATTGGTTGAATTATTTCAACGTTATGCTTTAAAGTTTCTGAAACAATTTCCAAACATAAATTCATTTATTTTTTCAAAAATTACACACACCGTTTGTATCTCAAAAGCTTTTGTCGAGTTTCCAGCTGAAAATGGTTGAAGAGTGTTAAATCCATTTATTAATTCAGGTTTGTTGCGGATATTGCAGAAAGAGAATTTAAAAGTGCAACTTTTCTGAAAAATTGGATAGAATAAAATCTGCAAAATGATTTTTAGTATAGTGCTTAAGTATTTCAGTACACTACTTCTAAAATATTGTTATACTACTACATTTTTATATTACTATATTAACATAGCACTACGCCCCCCATATGGGTTAGTATCCACACCCTAAACACTACTCCATCCTATATTAACTCATTACTATGTTACTAAATAAATAGTATTTTTATTCTATTATTATTACACTACTATTTGCGCTACTAAATTACCATAAAAATCTATGAAAAAAATTTATACTTTTTGGAGGTTCGAACCTGTCCCCCCAGGTTAGTAGTCACCTATGCTACTTATTTTGCTAATTAGTCTACGTTAATTTACTCTACCACTGTGCTAATATATAACACCTCGTACTACTACGTCCTCATATGAATAGCATCCTTACACTGTACTATTCCACTGTTACGTTACCATATGGATAGTACTCTTGGGTTACATCCACTTTCCTCACAGATATTATCGATCGTTCGTTGAATACAAAAGCACGATATGAATTAGGATTACGATTACGGTCGACCATTCATGAAAAATACAGCCGCAATTTGGGGAATCAGCGTTTCTCGGATAGGTCAGTCGAAATTTCTGTCGACGTCACATTTTTATTGGCGAACGATGCGTTTCTTTTATCGTTCACCCTCTACGTACCCGCGCAAGTGTGTGTATACACTTTATCTATACGCCGCGAGGGGTGCCATCAATCAATATAAACATATCGAAGGCATACGCGCAGAGAAAAAGATGGTATTCACTTCGATTCGTTGTGCGAGATTAAACTGCTCTTCTGATCGATGGCAATTACAATTTTTCAAACATTTCTTTTTTTTTCTTTTTTAGAAATACAAATAAAAATTCGATCAGAGTGTACTGTTAGGTTATGTCCTGTTAAGGTTGGGTTCCGTATGGAAATATGGCGGTAGCGTTCGAAAGCTTAGGTTAGGTACCCCACGAGTAGAAACCATTTTCGATCTCGTGTTTTTTTATTTTTTTTTTTATTGAAATACAAATAAAAATTCGATCAGAGTGTACCATCAGGTTATGTCCTGTGAAGGTTAGGTTTCGTATGGAAGTATAGCGGTGGTGTTCGAAAGCTTAGGTTAGGTATCGCACGAGTAGAAAGCCATTCTCGATCTCCTGTTTTTTTTTTTCTTTTTTTATTGAAATACAAATGAAAATTCGATCAGAGTGTCCTGTTAAGGTTAGGTTTCGTATGGAAGTATAGCGGTGGCGTTCGAAAGCGTAGGTTAGGTATCGCACGAGTAGAAAGCCATTCTCGATCTCCTGTTTTTTTTTTCTTTTTTTATTGAAATACAAATGAAAATTCGATCAGAGTGTCCTGTTAAGGTTAGGTTTCGTATGGAAGTATAGCGGTGGCGTTCGAAAGCGTAGGTTAGGTATCGCACGAGTAGAAAGCCATTCTCGATCTCGTGTTTTTTTTTATTTATTGAAATACAAATGAAAATTCGATCAGAGCGTCCTGTTAAGGTTAGGTTTCGTATGGAAATATAGCGGTGGCGTTCGAAAGCTTAGGTTAGGTATCCCACGAGTAGAAAGCCATTCTCGATCTCGTGTTTTTTTTTCTTTTTTTATTGAAATACAAATGAAAATTCGATCAGAGTGTCCTGTTAAGGTTAGGTTTCGTATGGAAGTATAGCGGTGGCGTTCGAAAGCGTAGGTTAGGTATCGCACGAGTAGAAAGCCATTCTCGATCTCCTGTTTTTTTTTTCTTTTTTTATTGAAATACAAATGAAAATTCGATCAGAGCGTCCTGTTAAGGTTAGGTTTCGTATGGAAATATAGCGGTGGCGTTCGAAAGCTTAGGTTAGGTATCGCACGAGTAGAAAGCCATTCTCGATCTCCTGTTTTTTTTTCTTTTTTTATTGAAATACAAATGAAAATTCGATCAGTGTCCTGTTAAGGTTAGGTTTCGTATGGAAATATAGCGGTGGCGTTCGAAAGCTTAGGTTAGGTATCGCACGAGTAGAAAGCCATTCTCGATCTCGTGTCTTTTTTTTCTTTTTTTATTGAAATACAAATGAAAATTCGATCAGAGTGTCCTGTTAAGGTTAGGTTTCGTATGGAAATATAGCGGTGGCGTTCGAAAGCTTAGGTTAGGTATCGCACGAGTAGAAAGCCATTCTCGATCTCCTGTTTTTTTTTTCTTTTTTTATTGAAATACAAATGAAAATTCGATCAGAGTGTCCTGTTAAGGTTAGGTTTCGTATGGAAATATAGCGGTGGCGTTCGAAAGCTTAGGTTAGGTATCCCACGAGTAGAAAGCCATTCTCGATCTCGTGTTATTTAGGAATCCGCATAGACGGATGTTATACGGACGTAGAGAGAATGAAGCGGTACACGTGGAACCTAACCGCAACCGACACGCTCGCGTTCCAATCAACCCTCCGGGGTCCGGAAGTCAGGCGACGTTGAAATACCACCGGCCTGAAGAACCTAACGGATTGAATACTTGTATTTCCCGATGATACGTTGTCTTTCGATTTTCTCGACGAGGGAAAGGAAATACACTCGAGGCATATGTACAGGGTGTTAACAAAATGGTGGTCGAAAGGGAGGGGGTCTGTTCAATTATGAATCAGTCCTTAGCAAACGTTGGGTCGAAAATTAATATACTAAATTAATTATTAATATAATAAATTAATAATAGATGTCGAGGAAATATACAGGGTGGTCCAGAAATACATGAAAGATTTTAATGAATAGTAAAATGTGGTATCTATTAACAAATTGTTGATCGAAACGCAGATGTGTTTCCATGTTGACTTCGAATTGAAACACGTCACCGCAACCAATTAAGGGACTGGAACCGTGTTGTCTGCGTGATCGATATTTTGCGAGCTGGAAACGTGCTCGGGGCAAAACCAGACTATTTGCCGCGTATCGGGACACGAACGTTTCACAGTCTACAGATTTTCTGAATGGCTTCACTATCGGGGGATAAGAAGAGGGATTTAGAACTGATCGAGTGGAAAGGAATGTTATTGCGCCGATCAATTATAGCTTGCGAAGAATACTGGGGAAAAATGAATAGAAAAATAGATTTTTATTAATTTTCAATTCGAGTTAAATATTATTTTTCTTTTATTTATCATCGATACTATGTGTGATAGAATTTATTACAGTGGCTGCAATTCTGCGTTTAAATAGTTATGTAACTTGCAAAGATAATTCCCCATTTCTTAGCCCCGTTGGCGGTGAATTATCGAGCGGCCACTGTATACGACAGAGACGTCACTATATTCTAATTAAACGACATTATTTCTACGTGCTAAGAAAACTAATTGGCTAGTTAAATATGCAACGAGGATTCCAGGGAACATTGTGTTACGTTGTATAAATAAGCCAATTTTACTGTGTAAGGAGTGTCTGTTGACTGCGAGTCTGTTTGCCCATCCGGTTATATCTTTTCTGGTATTTGCCAGTGGTTTATGGGTAAGAAGATATAGATACAATCATATTACATTGGTTTTGCATCAATTTAGATAGCAGGATCGGGAAGAAATATGGTTCTTTCTATTGGGGAATATTTTTTCCTTTGTCCATAGGGTTTGATTTTATTGCTTCTGCTTATTACCATAAAGTCTTATTCTTCAAGATATACGGGACAAGAATGGATATTTCAATCGAAGGGTATTACCGTTTCAGTTGTCGTTGTCTGTGGGCACTTAGGGTCTGTTAGGGTAATTTTAAAACTTTATAAATTAAATTTTTAAAAATTATTTAATAAAATTACGTGAAAATTATATGACATTTACTGTTAACAATATTACTCAATGAGGTTTTTAATTTCACTATTAGTATTTGAATTATTAAATTACACTCTCCTTTTCTTCTATTTTGTTATATGTCACTGTTAACCCTTTCCCTTTGTTCCACACCAGTAATCCCAATATCATGGAAAGTGGACTCGTTCAGAGGAAGTCACGTTTGAAGCGCAAGCTTGACGCGACCGAAACGAGGGTCAGGGAGTACTCCATTTAGGGTGATGTGTAAAGGGGTGCGGAGAAACGATCAGAACCGAATAATAATTTGAACAGTAGTCCTCTGTCGCATTGTTAATTGCAACTGAAATTCGTAACCAAAATGTAAATGGTGGTCCTTCGAATTACTTCCTGTACAGGTGCATCGAAAAGCTGTCGATGGAATTTGTTGGGCCTCTGAATAAATAATACAATGCGAATCATCGCTTTTGTTAATGTATTTAAGCAAAGGCAAGATTAGTGAACAGCATTTTGGAATTTATGGAGGTGAAACTTCCATGTAGATATTTTTAACAAATAATTCTTTTTTATCAGGTTGTTGCTGATGAAATGGCTGATTTAATTGCAAAAATTATAGGTACTGATTAATTAAAGCATGTATCTACTCATTAAAAGCAGAAATATTTTTTAAATTCTACATTTTATGGGAGTAATTTACTATAATATATAATGGCAAATTTTATTTCTAATTACTTCAATTTTGTATA